GTCAGTGGCTCAAACCCACCAGCTATTCCACAGGAAAAAGATGTGGCAGTCTACTTTTGTAAAGGTTACAGCCTTGGGAACCCTATGAGGCAGTTCTACTCTGCCCTATAGGGTCGCTATGAGTTGGAACCAATTCGACCGCAACGGGTTTAGTTTTTGTTTTTCAAAAGGCTGTACACACGTGCAGTGCTGTGCCCATACCCAGGAAGGTCCTCAGAGGACTCCAATATCTTACTATTGATTGACCTTGAGGTCCTATGCAAGTAAGAAGTGAAGGCTAAGGCAGAGTCTTTATCTGCTGGAGCATGGAAGGTGTGCCCCAATAAAAACATGCCCCTTGGCAAAGAATGGAAGCTTTATTGGCTCAAGGTATTTAGGGAAATCTCTGACCAGTCATTAGTTGACCAGAAAGCAAACCAAGCAGAGATTTCAGTGTCTGTACCCTATAAAGAATATGTTGGTGTTGTTAGGTGCCGTCGAGTTGGTTCCAACTCATAGTGACCCTATGCACAACAGAATGAAATGCTGCGCGGTCCTGTGCCATCCTCACAATCGTTGTTATGCTTGAACCCATTGTTGCAGCCACTGTGTCAATCCATCTCATTAAGAGTCTTCTTCAATATAGGGAATATAGATTTTATGAAATCAGTTCTGCAAAGTTACCAAATAAACAGACAGCTGCAACAACAATAACATCAAACAGTAAAACCAACAAACCCTGTGAAGCACTGATTCCCAGAGGTGCTGTATTACCTATAATATATAGTATTTAAAATGTCCAGTTTTAACAACAACAAAAATATATATGAGACATATAAAGGAAAGGAGATATGTTCCATATACAGAAAAAAAGCAGCCAATAGGAACTATTCCTGAGGGATTCCAGATGTTGGACTTACCAGACAAAAGACTTTAAATCAGCCACTATAAATGTGTTGAAATAACTAATAGGAATCATTTCTAAAGAAATAAAGTATGAGAACGATGTCGCAACAAATAGAGAATATCAATAAAGAGATAGAAATTATGCAAAAGAACCAATTATAAATTCTGGATTGGAAAAGTATAATAAATTAAATACATAAATCACTAGAATGCCTCAACAAAAGATTTGAGATGACAAGAGAAAGAATCAGTGCACTTGAAAATAGGTCAATTCAGATTATCCAT